AGTATGTAATTATGTAAGAATGTTAACAGTCTGTAATATTTTTTAGTATATCACTAGCGTGGTGTAGAACAAAATTATCTATGTAGAAATACTGCTTGCAAACCAATGATGGTAAGATGATGTCATGGGGTAGGACTAGATAAGTCTAACTTCTTCCTACTCCGTTCAAGCATGTACTAGGTATAAGCAAATTGATAATGTATTTGTGGATATGTGTGAAATTATGTGTGTTGACATATTGACTGTCTTTACATGTTTGAAAGAATAAATCAAAATCTAAATCAAATCAGGACACCACAGAGGAAGCCATTGCTCTCCAAAACCAACACTGCAGCACACCTGAAGTTTGCCAAAGACCACCTGGACACTCCACAGCACTACTGGGAGAATGTCCTGTGGACAGATGGAGCAAAGGTGGAATTGTTTGGGAAGAACACACAGACCTACGTATGGCGTAAAAAAGAGAACTGCGTACTGACATGAAAACATCATCCCAACAGTGAAGTATGGTGGTGGGAGCATCATGATGTGGGGCTGCTTTGCTGCCTCTGGACCTGGACCACTTGCCTTTGTGGAAAGGAAAATGAATTCCCAAGTTTATCCAGGTATCCTACAGGATGATGTCAGGGTGGCTGTTGGCAAGCTGAAGCTCAGAACAAGCTGGGTGATGCAGCAGGTCAATTACCCTAAACATTGATGTAAATCTACTACAGAATGGCTTCAGAGACACAAAATCCACCTTCTGGAGCGGCCTAGTCAAAGCCCAGACCTCAGCCCAATAGAAATGCTGTGGAATGGTGTCTTTATCCATCTGATTTCTTTTCATCCATCCATCAATTTTTCTTTCTCTACATCTTGTCTGATCACTAATTGGGGTTTTGCCCTGAAGGTTAGAAGATCAGGGTCAAAGGAGAGACACACAGACACACACATATTGAAACCTATTTTCTGTAGTGAAGGGTGAGTTTGCTCTGTAACTCACGCTCCTTGTTAACCAGACACACTATACTTATCACAGTTTATTTTTGACCTCATCCATCTTTTTGTTCATTCTTTTTCTTTCTTTCTTCCATCATCTCACTCCCTCTTGTTAAGATGTTACTAATATCCCGGAGGCTGCTGGGAAACGACAGAGAAAGCATGGGCATGGAAAATGGAGCTACATTGCTAACATAAGACACACATGCACACACACACACTGAGAGACTCTTTTTAGACTGCATTACTGCCTTGCAGGCGACATCACCATGTTGAAAGACATATCTCATCATTCTGCTTCTCCTGACCTGGATAGTCATGCACATGGCGTTCATGGACAGTAGAGTGTTTACATTTCACTTCCAGCTGTTTAGGCACCACACAGCTGTTCCAGAGCTGGCAAATATCTGCAGCTTTTTGGATAAAAAATGTATGGCTGCAGCTAATGATTGTTTTCATTATGGGTTGGTCTTCACAGTCTTCACATTACTATCTTGATGAACTGATTAAAAGCAGACTTGATAAAACAAAACGCAGAAATAAATAGTGTATACAAAAGACAAGGGAAGGATGTAGACGTACAATTAAATAACTAAAAATAGCCTAAATAGGGGCTTTAAAAGCATTAATTCAACTGGCAAACTTACCTCCACCTCAAACGTGCGCTCACTGTCATCCAAGAAGATCACCCGCAGCCGGAGCTTCGTCTCCTTAGAGACCCGGGACTTGGTCGTGAAACTCCGGGTCCGCACACGGTCCCCCATCTCAGTCTCTCAGGGGGAATAATACCAACAGCAATCATGCTTTACATCCATTACCCCGACAGTGAATCCACAAGGACTTCACGCGCTTCTGTTCATCATCATCATCATCATCATCCGCTTCTCCGAGAATGTGTGGCTGCTGGAGCGCGCGCTCTCCAGATGCGTGATGGCACGGTGACGTTGTTTCCCAAGGGTGAAACCGTGTTACCAAATTACAGGGGTGGAAAAACACTGAGCTCTTTTACTTGTAAAGTTGTAATTTCACACTGTAGAAATACTTGAATACCCGCGGGCTACAAATATTAATTAGCATAATATAACCTAAAACTGGCTACTCGCTGTAGGGGAAGGACTCACGTGGTTGATTGCCTCTTA